TTTGGTGCGGTTCGGTGCAAAATCGCACCGCACTGAACAAAACCGAAACTAGAATTTTACGAAAAACTATAACTGCACCGCTCCGCAATGTAGGAAAAAATCGAACTGAAAATATTTTACATTAAAAAAAACTGAACCGAACCGCACTGAATTGCACGGTTCGATTCGGTTTTGCTCACCCCTATTTATATACTATTACATAATTTTATTTATATCATCTCTTGGCGAAACAATATAAAAAATAGTTACTACCAAATAAATGGTAGCAAAACTCGTGCGTTAAATAAAAAACACCCTAATAATTAAATAGATTAATAGAGGAGCAAAATATGAGTTAAAAAGTACTTTTAAGATGTAATAAAAAATTAAAATCTGGCTAAATGATGAATGTGAAACTTGAGGTAGGTAAACTATCAAGTAGCTCATGAACTCGTGTCGCCTAGACTCATCTTATACAGATTTGAGTTCAAGGTGTTATTAAAGATAAACAAGCAGAGTTCAAGCTCGTTTAGTTAACGAGTTGAGTAAGTTCTATAAAAATTTAAAGTCGAGCATCAGAATCCTTTGCTCGACAAGGCTCGTTTACGCGCCTTGAGCATGGAGATGGAGGTGGGATGGCACTAATCATTCCCGGGACAAAACTGCAAAAGGGCGAAATTTTCAGGGGCAAAAAAACAAAAAATGAGAAGAGAGCTTAATTAGTTTAAAACGCGCGTGATACGTTGGTTCGATTAAGCACACTCAGTCGTTTTTATATTCTGTACTCAGTTCACCTTAAAAGCATCTAACAAAAAAGCTAACAATTGTGTGTAAATATATCATTATCTCCCAAATTCTTTTGACATTAAAAGGGTCGAACAAATATTTAAGAAATTATTCAAAGCTTAACAAAAGCATGGAACACATAATTAACTGATTAGCTAAAAAGTAAAAGTAGAATCCTGAAACATTTTGTAGTGTGTGGTAATTAAACATTTTGGAGATTGCCTGATAGTTGATAAACAATTAAGTGGGAGTACTTGTCACTTGAATTTTGTACTTCATGCCGGTGTCCCACCCAACGCCACCCACAACCACCACCGGACCCGTTGCTAGCTACCGTCGAACTCGCCGGACCTTTTCAATCTCGTTTTTTTTTTCGGTAGTTGCGGACGACAACCCCGCTCGCGAAATCAACAAGTTTGGCTACACCTAACGCGGGGTCGTACAAACATAGAACGTTAGTGTCGTCTCCGCACTCCGCCGCCCAAGAACCCCCGCCCTCCGCCGCTGTTGTCCAAAGTCATACTACCGCTGCAGCCGCGTCCCTTCTATCCGACTCGTCGGCGCCGCCGTCGCCGCATGAGTTACAGCAAGTCACCGGTGGCGAGGTTGTGGGGGGTTTGTTCCAAAAATTTGATAATGCTCACGGACTTAATTGCAATTTCATGAATTTTAATTATATTTCAATTGAGTATATGGGCTAAATAACTTATAAAAATATTACTTTTAGTATATGTTTTATACCTATATTAAAAGAACAAAATAAAAGTATTAAAAAATATAAAATATTAAAATAATATACAATAATAAATAAAAAATCGAAATAACAAATAAAATTTTATAATATAAATAATAAATTATTCGAATTATTTAGGTTAAGTCGCTTAACCAATCGAATAAATAAATTATTTCGAATCGTTATTAGTTTATTGGATTGTAAATAAAAATCCACTTTGCAGAATGCACAAATAGTATTCTACATAATAGTGCTAAACAAGATGCAATTAGTGCACAAATAATATTCTGCATAATAGTGCTAAACAAGATGCACATTACTGACTATCAGACTGCAAAATAATGTTGATTTTGATACACATCATTAAATTTGTCTAAAATTGAAATACACAAAAACCTGAGAAATTGCAAAGAGCAATGAATATATTATACAATTAATGCACATTTAATTTATTTCCTGTGCATATTTAGATAATGCATCATGTATATTATAGTCACAAATAGTGCGTACTTAATTGAGAATAAGAAATTCATATTTATTTCATAATGCATATTTAATTCATCCATTGTGCATATTTAGTTCATACGAATGCATATTTCGTTCAACCATGCACATATTTATTATATAAATTAATATTTCATTCATTATTCATATTTAGTTCAACCATGTTTCATATTTATAATATTTAAATATATACATAATGTATGTAGACTTCTCACATAGGGAAACAAAATTTGCTAAACTAAATAAGGAGATTGATGATCATATCACCAACTAATACTCATCTGCCTTTATATCCGAAGGCTCTTGGGGAGGAGATTGTCTACTTCATCTTATTCCCTCTACCATCACATAAGAGAACCAGGATTTATTGAAGTCGGATGAAGATGAGGAGATTAAAACTGCACTCTTTAGCAACACTTCTGGCAGTTATTTCATATTGACATGATTGGAGTTGGTAAGAGTTTATTCGATTCTTGGTTTTTCTTAAATATTTGAACCACACTCTTGTTACCTTAGTTCCAAAAAGTCAAAATCCTTCCTCCGTGGGGCAATTTAGGCTTATCTCTTTATGCAATGTGGTATATAAAAATTTTGTTCAACTTGCTTGCCACAAGATTGAAAGCTTGTTTAAACTCTTGTGTCATTTCCTACCAATCTTCTTTTCTTCAGGGCAGGCAACTTCTCGACAATGTCATTGTTGCACTTGAGGCCTTTCATCACCTCAAGAGACACATCTGAAAGGAACTGTTTCATGGCTTTAAAATTAATACTTATGAAAGCATCAAATAATATTTTCTAAAAATTAAATATATTTAATAGACATTTATGAACATAGGTTGTATGACTGGTTACCAAAAGAATAAGAAACTCCAGTGATTCGTAATTTATATGAAGTATTGAGCTTTAATTGCAATAATTATCACAAAAAAGATTCACAATTACGACCACTTTCTTTATATAGAAAGTCGTGCTATTAATTGGACTGCACGATTTACAACATATAGGTATAACTTAATTTTTATTCTTCTCATAAATAATAAGTAATTTTACTATATTTTCTTTAATAGTAAGTTAACATATTTAATTACAAAGTCAAAGTTACTATTATAGATTATTTCATCAACCTCTTTCACTATGTTCATATGCGGACTATGGGGAGTGTTCTCACTTTTAATGGTAATATATTTCAATATAACTTAACATCTACTTAATAAAATTAATTATAATATGGATTTATCGCATGTACTAATTGAGATTTCAGAGTGTATGATTTCAGCTAGGGGTGTACAATTTTCGGTTAACCGGACTGACGAAAACTGAAATTCTGTTTGGACCGAAATCAAAACCGAAACCGAATATTTGGTTCGATTTTTGGTTTGCATTTTCTAACAATTTGATTTTCGATTTGGTTTGGATAATAGTGATCGGTTAAGCAAACCGAACCGAAGCAAAAATCGATTTATACATATATATTAATATATTTTTGTTTATACATAAAAGTTATTAAAGCATTAATTTACTTCAATGATTGATGATTTTCGAGCTTCAATGACCCTTAAAATGGCTCAAACATTAATTTTCATTCAAGATTTGTTTCGTCATAGTCCAAGTGATGATTCGGGTTTGAGATCTTCCGTAGAGGAGAATTTAAAATTGAAAAAATTAAACATGGTAATAAAAAAATTCGGTTCGAAAAAAAAAAATCAAAATCTTATTTCGATTAAAATTTAAAATTTATTGAGAAAATTAATTATTTATTGCGATTAACCGATAGCCGAACTGAACCAACCGTAGAATTTTCGGTTAAAAACCGAAACGAACTGTAAATTTTGATTCAATTTTCGGTTCTTATAATGGATAAACCAAACTTTCGATTAACCAAAAATTTGGTCGGTTCAATTCGATTTCGACCAAATGAGCAACATTAATTTCAGCCAATTGGTGTGTGATGGACCATTTCATTCAACGGTAAGAAAATGGATGTGAGTGACCCAAACATTCGCATGTATGGATATCCACAATATATTTTTTTTTACCCCAAACTTAGTGCATGTTTAGATATAGATATATATAAAAAATAAAAAAAAAAATAAAAATCTCAATTCAAAATTTAACTCAACTTTTAATTCAACTCTACTATCTTCAACATTATCAATATAATTAAATAATATCAAATCAATCATCCTTACACGTCATGTCACATTTAATTCACTAATCATCAACTAACATAATTTTAACTAATAATCATATTCCCCGTATTTTTACATCAAATCAGTTTCAATTATTTTATTTTAAATATTATTTTAATACAAACTCAAAATTCCATAAAATTAATCCTTTTTTTTTTTGTATAATTAGCTCATTTAAAATAAAAAAAAAAATCAATCATTGTATCGAAGCAAAAAAATTAGCAAATAATAAATATGAAAAAAAAAATAAAATGACAAAATAGTAGTACTACTAATTGAATATATTTTTTTCTAGTGGCGTGGGGTTAGTTACGTGAGCTGGATAGGACTGACTGACCCTCCCAACAAAACAAAAAAACAGAGAGATGGAAAGAAAAAAAAAAAAAAGCAACAGAAGAAAATAATATATAATAAAATAATTGCAAATTAATGGAAGCCCATCACCATGAGAAACACAGAGAGAGAGGGAGAGAGAGAGAGAGAGAGAGAGATTGAGAGAGAGAGAGAGAGAGAGCACACGAAGAAGAGACCTCATTGGTCTCTATCTCCAATTTCGTCTACACGCTACCATACAACCCAAAAAAGTTTATCTTTCTATCATTTTCTTCTCCTCTTTTCGTCTTCCTGTCTCTAAAATCATTATCATTAATTTGTTAGAAAAAAAAAAAAATTAATTTTGGTGCTGCAGAATCCCAATCTCTTGTACTCGAACCATTGTTTAATGGGTTTTCAATTACCTGCATATAAATCCTGTTACGAGCAAGTTCAAATTATTATCTAGTTTATTTGCGATATTTTGACTTAAAAATATGGATCTTGGAGTAAAGCCCGTGTCTTTCGCGACCGTGAATGCTTTATGGAAGTCCGGCAGCGGAATTTCCGATCAATTTCCGGCGGGTCTGAGAGTTCTTGTTGTGGATGACGACCCCACTTGCTTAAGGATCTTGGATAAGATGCTGAAGAATTGCTTGTATGAAGGTAATGTCTCAACACACTCTGGCGTATGTGTTCTTGTGCCTAATAAGTCTTTTTTACTCTTGAGCAGTTGTTCTTTTGTATGTGCAGCTTATGTTTATCGTTTAAAGACCATTTTTGATTTTCAATTATTTGTGAAGATTTGGTTTCTGGATAAAAAAAAAATTTGACCAAGAAACTGTGTTAAAATTCTTGAAAAAAATGATGGGTTCTTGAAATTAGAAAACAGCTATCCTTAAATTTTTTATTTTCTGTATAAAATTTAATCTAATAGCTATTTATATTTTTTTCCTTTTCCCAGTTACGACGTGCAACCGTGCAGAGATTGCATTGAAATTTCTAAGGGACAAACGGAATGTTTACGACATTGTTATTAGCGATGTACACATGCCCGACATGGATGGCTTTAAACTTCTTGAGCATGTTGGCCTTGAAATGGATCTGCCAGTTATCAGTCAGTATTTTCCTTCCCCAAATTGGGTCTTATAGTCAAATTTGGAACTGTATAAAGCTTATAAAGTTTCTTGGAACTCCTTGGTTTTGGTCATTTTCTCATCGAAAATCGGATAATTTACGGGGAAATCAACGTCTCCACATTTTTGTAAACCAATATCACATTTGTGGGTTTCTTGTTCATGAGTGAAGGTGGCCACTTTGATTGCCACAATATGTTCATCGAAAGATTGAAACCTATTGTCTTTTTCTTATTTATAAATGCTTGGTTTTGTGGCTCTGCAGTGATGTCAGCTGATGACAGCAAGAAAGTGGTGATGAAGGGAGTGACCCATGGTGCTTGCGACTATCTCATAAAGCCGGTTCGTATGGAGGCGTTAAAGAACATATGGCAGCACTTGGTGCGCAAGAGGCAGCACGAGTGGAAAGAAAAGGATCTTCTCGAGCAACATTCAGGAAGCGTGGACGAGCAAAAGCCGCCTGAGGATTTGGATTATTCCTTGTCAGTCAATGAAGAAAATTGGAATACTTCCAAGAAAAGAAAAGACGAGGAAGATGAGGCGGTAGACAAGGAGGACGCATCGTCTTTGAAAAAACCGAGGGTTGTTTGGTCGGTCGAGCTGCATCAGCAATTTGTAAGTGCAGTTAATCAACTCGGAATAGACAGTAAGTACCCTCCTTCCATCTGCCTTTCACGGTTATTTTTTTATTACCATGTTATATGATTACATGAGTGTATAAGGGCCAAGTTAAAGAAGATAATAATGTGAAAGTACAGATAATTTATCTTCCTATGATTGTTGTTCATTTTTAATGGGAATGGTGATAATTTTGTAAATTTGACATGATTGGATTCCTTTGAGCAATTAATTTTTCAGTCACTTGTGATAGTACATTTTATTTTCTATACTGCAGAGGCTGTTCCTAAGAAGATTCTCGAATTAATGAATGTTCCTGGCCTCAGTAGAGAGAACGTTGCTAGCCATCTTCAGGTAACACGAATATCATATTCTATTTTACTTGTTTTCCTGTTCGGAATATTATGATGCTAAAGCCTAAACTATATTACATCTATGAAATGAACTATGTGTTGTGGTCCTTTGATAAATTGGGTTTAGTTACAAAAATAACTTCCAAAGTCTGGTCACGTAATGGGCCAGCTTTTTTCGAACTGTCGGTACCCATCGATTTTTTTATTTCCATGGTATAATTTGTAAGATAAGAACAAAGATCAAGAGAGTTTTGTAAAGATCATATTTTTAATCTAAGGTCTAATTGTAATCTATTCCAGAAGTACCGACTATATCTGAGAAGGTTAAGCGGCGGCTCCCAGCACCATAGTGGGCTTCCGAATCCATTCATGTGCCTGCCCGATTCTACTTTCGGGCCAATGACTCAACTGAGTGCTGTTGACCTCCAAGCCCTTGCTGCCTCTGGCCAACTTCCACCGCCCCACAGCCTCGCCACAATCCAACAAGCAGCTGCCCTTGGCCAGGCCCAGCCCACCACCAAGAACTCTATAACCTTACCTCTTGTCGACCAAAGAAATAATATTTTCAGCTTTGATAGCCCAAAATCAAGATTTGCTGACGGTCGACCTCAACAAAACAGTAATGGCAATCAAGTAAACTTACTGCACGGGATCCCAACCAGCATGCACATCCGCCCACATGCGGGCCCAAACAACTCCTTGTTGGTTCAAACACAACCGAGGGCCCAAAATTATAATGAGGTCAGCCCTCGCGTAACTCAACCTCGTTTGCCAATAGGGGTACCTGTTCAACCATCCCAGGCCATGGATTTTCCGGGCGGTAACTATCGGGTAGCGGTTAATGCGAGAACATTGGGCCCTGTTATAAAGTCACGAGATGATGTCAGCGCGCAAGTCAAAGGACCGAGGGGTGCCTTTTTCGCTACCTACAACGATGCTTTTGGGGGTCTAAATCAGAACAGAGCTCGGGATTTGTTTTTGCAAAATGTCGGGCCAAATGCACAGCAAATCGGGGGTGGGTCTGTTAATGGGGTGGTCTTTTCTGTGGCAGGGGGACTTGGGAACTCGGCAAACACTAGTCAGCTGGTTAGCTCGTTCGGTGAGAATCCATCGAGGAATAAGGGTCAACGGACGCCAAACATGGGCTCGAGCTTTGAGAACGGCTTTTCACATGAGCACTCGGGCCAGGACGACCTCATGAGCATGCTTCCCTCATTGCAGGAGCAAGAAGGCATGGGAGCCATCGAGAATGAGTTCGACGACTTCAGTATTTATAATTTGGATAATCTGCCGGTGTAACATGCCGCTGTTCAGTAAGTAATTTGTACATAGATTGAGTGGGTGAACCTTTAATAGTTAGTTAGAGATGGAGGAATATGTGTGTGTGTCGCTTAGCGTACCATGTGCGATTTTGTTTATTTTTCTCGCTGCTTTAGGGAGTTGGTGAATGGTTTCCTTATATAGTGGTGCTGTTTATTTTTAGCTTTTTCGATGGAAGTTATTTGATGTAGTATTATGAGAACTTCTCAAAATCTCTAATTTCAGTAAGTAGAATATTTTCCTACAATTGAATTAATGTTTTTGCTCTGGATATAATTGATTTAGAATATCACATGTGAGTTCTCCTACATCTTTTATATAAGGAAAATAGGCATAATTTATAAGTCTAATGGGTTATTTCTCCTTCCACTCATTGATTTTGAGATACAAAATCACTTGAGCTTCACCTGGACTTTCTCTGTCTTGGTGCACTTTATCTGCGTGGGACCACACCCGTTTTGCCTCTGTTTCTTATATGGTATCAGAGTCGGTTCTACTGAGACCGTACGATGTCATACCCGTTTACCCAACCCGTTTTTAACCCAACTCTTTATATGGGCGTGGGCTTCTTATGAAGTACTCACAAGTGAGGGGGTGTGTTAAAATATCACTTGTGAGTTGTTCCACATCGTTTATATAGGGAAAATAAGCTTAATTTGTAAGTTTAATTGGTTACTCCTTCCACTAATTGGTTTTGGCCACTTGTGAGTTGTCCCAAATTGTTTATAAAATTTTTACAAACCAATTTTAATAAATACTGTTAATTTTACATATTGAGTGACTAAGTGACTAATATATCCCTGACTTTTGATTTGTTTCCTTCAATTAACTATTGAATTATAAGTGTATTTTAAAAGTCGATAACTTCTGTATTTCATATCGGTTTTACATATATAATATATCAAATTAATCATCTTTTGATGATCTTCGATTTGACATCCATATTGTATATATGAAATAAATAAATTATATTTATATATTTATATTTATAATAATAATAAAATAACAATATTTATTAAAATTCATTAAAAAAAATAATATTATTTTTCAATTGATACAGTTATGCTTAATGTAGTTATGTGTTGTAGTTAAAAAAATTATTTTAATATAACAAATGTAAGTTGCACAAATAAAAAGTGTCATACTAAATATATAATAATATATATATTATTATAAAAGTGATATAGGATATTATACTGGACCCGGTTTACTGGATAAAGCGGATACATATAGGAAGATAAGCCCACTAAGACGTCCAAGCCCAACATTATGGGCCAAGCTCATATTGAGCCTACAAAGGTACACTCCCCCTATAAAATGGGGGCCAAGGTACCTCATTCACACATTATCCTCTCTTCATTACATTACTACACTTTATCTCTCTCTTGATCCGGGCACTGACTTAGGCATCGGAGGCCCGACGCCGGGGCCACCCCCGGCGTTGGGTTCTGCAGGTACGGAGGCCGGTTCGAGTTGAAGGAGCCCGGGTGAATCTTATTCACTTCATTGGCGCCGTTTGTGGGGACCCGTAAAAAAGTCAAGCGGAGTCCCGACTGAAAAAATTGAAAAAACCTCCTTCTTCTCCACTGGCCACCGCCACCGTCGGCCGCCACCTCCGCCGCCGGCCGCCGGAAATCGTGCTCTGATCTGAAAATCGTTTGCGTCGTTGGATAGATCCCTTCGAGGTGAGCCTCTCCTTAAAATTTCATGCGAAAATTCATCCGGGAAGGCCGTCAATTTCGCGGTCAAAGTTTTCAGATCTAGTAAAATTTTGGTCAAAATTGGACATTCAAACACATTTCCCGATGATCCGGAAGAGCTATGGAAAATCCGAGGGTACCACCGGAATCCTCTCGACGAGACGAATCTCCAGTCACCGAACTTCGCCGGAAAACATCGCCGCTGCCGCCGGCCGCCGCCACCTCCGCCGCTGGCCGCCGCAAAAAGTTGTACGATCTGAAAAATTCTTACACCATCGGGAAGCTCTTCTCTTCCTCATTCTACCCTTGGAATTTCGTGCAAAAATTCTACCGGGAAGGGCGTCAATTTGCCGGTCAAAGTTTGTGGATCTAAAAATGGTTTGGTCAAAATCCGGTCATACCCTCAATTTTCCCGT